AAAAAAAAAAAAAGAATAAATTAACTAATTTTTAAAAATGGTATCTTAAACTAGCTAAATGAAAACTGGTTTGAGGGAAAACTTCAGAGAATTTATTTTAATCTCCATTAAGTAATTGTGACGTGTTACTTTTTAGAGTAACTGAATTTTAAAATACTGTTTCTTTCTCCATTTACTCAGCACAAGCATTTCACTGAAGATATTCAAACAAGGCAGTATCGCTCGTTGGAAGTTCTGATAGGATCTGGCTATAATACCCCTGCAGACATTTGGAGCACGGCATGCATGGTAATGTTTTTTTCCCCTTGACCTTGTTATGTGGTAGCTCTGTTATGTGGTATGTGATAGCTGATACGGTACGTTACGTTACATTACGTTACGTTAACATTACGTTAACGTTACGTTAACGTTATGCGGTAGCACTGTGCCTTGCTCTGTTTGCTGATTTTCAGTAGACTAGTGAATTTTACAAACAAGAAAATAAAAACTTTTTGTGACATCACTGGCAGTCTAAATTTTCTGTCTGGAGAGGTAGGAATTCAAAAGCTAATTAAAAACATCTGCATTCCATTTGGTTCTGCCAAACTGCTGTTGCGCTGAAGGCACCAAATGTTTCTTACTGCTGCTGGGGGTTAGGGGGTGTTAGAAACAACTGCTAAGGTGGTACTGTTTTTGAGGAGGAGGTTACAGGTACCCTTGCCCTTTCAGCTCTCATCTGTTTTCAGATCAGGGAAGCCCCTGGAAACTACTTCATTCTGTACAGTTTGACAGTTCCTCAGACATCTTTACACCCCACAAGATGTGAAGCCCAATCATCCTAAGATTCTTAAATGGCTACTTTGTCCCTCGCAAACAAGTACTCAAGAGGTCAGATTTAGTTGATACTAAATGGTTTCCCACAAATAGCCTATGTTAGAACATGTTCTCTTGTTTCCTGAAATAGAGTATACTCTTTAATTTGTAATTGTGTTTCTTCACTTGTTTCTCTTCTACGAGGTTGTGAGTGCCATGCTGACAGGAATCGTGGCTGTTAACGTATAGCTAATTGTGTGCTTCAGGGCCTGGCCGTTATGAGTGGGTACTTACAGTGCAGTTGTGGTGCTAACTACCCAGAATTCTGGCAGACTTCGTAGAGTAAGGGCATAATTTCCCACGAGACTGCCTTCATTTCAGACACCAGCTGCAGACTCTGGAGTCCACAAGCCACCTGCTTTTCTGACCTACCGGCTACAAATTGGGAGGTTCCATTATCCTTTCAGATTCAGTAACTTGTTAGAATGACTCCCAGAATTTAGGAAAGTGTTAAAACTGCTATTACAGTTTTGTCATAAAGGCTACAAATCAGGACCAATCAAATCAAAGCATGGCTAGGGTGAGACCTAAGAAGGTACCAAAGGTGAAGCTTCTGTGTCGTTGGGACGTGTCACTTTCCCAGCATATCAGTGTGTACCACCATCTAGGGAAGTTCACACAGCTTCAGGTGCCCAGTTTTTTTTTTACTAAGATTTCATGACTTAGTCATGATTGATTGAATGAACTCCATCTCCAGCCCCCATTCCTTCCCTGGAGGTTAGGATAATGCTGGCTCACAGCCCCAGTTCTCACACAGTTGGATCTTGTCCAATTAGGAGGCATATCCAGCCCCCGTCTTAACTATGTAGGGGGGTGCCATTAAGTACTTATCACTTGGAAATTCCAAGCGTTTAGAGGCTTCCTCTCAGGAAACAGGAACAAAGACCAAATAGATTCTTTATTATATAAGCAGTACTTAGTACATATTTGTGGACCATCAAATGAGGAAACTAAACCAGAAACCTGTTAAACTGTCATTTCAATTAACAATATTCACAGTCAACTCTGGGGAAAAATTGAGAAACTACAGACTAGAAGATCATAGATTTCTTGATACGCACATTCCTGAAAAACCATGTCTTCCAGAGGTAATAGAGTTAAAACTGTGTTGTTAATATGGCATGACCTTGTAAATCATTCTGTTAGGTAGGGTGTATCAGGGGTCTTTTAAGATGGCTGACTGCCTGAAATGTAAGGTTTGGTATTGTGCACCAGATGGAAGAACATTGGAATAAAATCTAACTTCTTTTAAAGTTCTATATTTGGAAGAATTTGATTTGCTAGAGAAAATACGTGCTAGAGATGCCACCATTTACAAAATATAGCTAGTTTATAGATGACATATGATTTATTATGATGTGGTTCTTAGTAGGAGGTTAACTGTTTAGGCCAGTAGGTCCTGCGTGCTATTTAGTACATTAATACTAAGGCAAAAAAATAAAAGGGGAATTAACCTTGCCTCCCGTTAAATGGACCAGCTCACATGCAGGAAATTTCTTGACCAAGGGAAGGAAAGCACTTACCTGATATGACAATATTGTGAAAACTTGAGCCCCACTTGTTCCCCCAAATTTCTCTCGTTTTGCTAATAGACCTAGAAATGTTGCCTTACATTTAGCCATAACCAGAAAGTAAAAACAAATCCTGGAATATCAGAAGTGCCTGAAAGCGATGGATTGTCCTGCATCTGATACAATTAATTAATAGAAAGATTGGACCCTCTCTGAGAGAGAGTGAGTTTGCCTGCCACATTCGTGATTGAGACTACTGAGTTAGAAGTGCAGTTATGAAAAGGGAATGTTCTATGAAGACCATTTAAGAGTTGATAAAGAATAGATGTTTTTAAATCCTCCATTCTGTGGATTTTGACAAATGTACAGTGACCTATATCTACCACGGGAGTATCCTGCAGAATGGTTCCACTGCCCTAAGATTGCTCTGTGCTCTGCCTGTTCCTCCCTCTTCCTCCAGCCCCAGCCCCTGGCCACCACCAATCTTTATTGTCTTCATAGTTTTGCCTTTTTCAGAAAGTCATATAGTTGGAGTCATAAAAAATGTAAACTTTTCAGATTGGCTGCTTTCACTTCATAATATTCAAATATTTAAGGTTGTCCTTTGTCTTTTCATGACTTGATGGCTCATTTCTTTTTCAACACTAAATGATACGCCATTGTCAGGATGTGCCAGCTCACTGGATTGCATAACTCATATTGCCTATGTACGTCAGTGTGACCCTGACTCACAGAGCAGGCTCTTTGGTCAGCGTGAGACAAGGGCAGGAGTGGGAATTAGGAGCCCCTACATTCTAGGATGGGCTTTTTTGCTTGTCAGTTTGGGTCACAGTTTTCTTATCTGTAAAGGGAAGCATATTCAACTAAAGTGTTCCGTAACCTAGAGCTTCCGCTAGTTTCGAATTTTGGTACTGTGATCTTTTGGTTTGGTTTGATTTGTGAGGGGATTTTTGCTATTACTTACAAAATGGTAACTACTAGCATCTACCTTATGTTCCAAAAAGTAGTTCTGTCAGAGAACTTTAGGTAACTAGTTATAAGTATCTAGATGAAAAAATTTAGAAAATACTAAAATCTTAGAAAATTTTCTTTACTTCTGTGAACTTTAATTTCAGGATATTTACTGAGCTCCCACTCCGAGGCTTTGAAAAAGTACTGGTTTCTGAAGATAGTAACAAACTTTGATGAATAAGAATTAACAGGGGTTTTTTTCCACTTTGGGACTGTAAACCTCAGGACAGTAAGGGGGTGGGGGTAGAACACATATCAGGTTCAGTTTCAAAATAAACTGCTGGGATGTAAAACCAGCTATGCCTGGTAAGAAGCCATAGCATCCCTGACATTTTAGGGACTGTCCTGAAACTTCTAGTTTTGTGGCCTGGGCGGTAGTACAGTTCAGGTAATGTCTTGAGAAAAGCTGTCCCATGGGAAAACTGCAGAAGCGGACACTGGCAAGCACTGAGACCTCCATCTGGGTCCGAGTTAGAGAGTGTGCTCCGGAATCCACCCCGTGGTTCCTGTAATTGTCTGGGCCACTTAGTACCGTCGACTCGATCAGAATTGACCCGTGACTAATGACTTACAACTGTACTTCTATGCCAATTAGGTTCTTTATAAAACTGCAGTTGTTTTACTTGTTTTTAATCCATCTTTTTATTCAGTGAAAGATTAACGTCACTCACATGCTGTCTTTCCGTACTGCTTGGCACATATTCTAAAGGAAATTACTTTTTCACGCTTCTTGAACACTGTTTACAAGAGCTTTTCTTGTAGAAGACGTGCCTTTCTTTTCTCGGTGGTGAATGCTAAATGTGCCAGTCACATAAAACATGAATTGCTCTTGACCACATTTACACCCAACCTTTTTCTGATTTTCTATAGACCTAGGAATTGGAAGTTCTATCTAAAACTTTAGGGAGTATGTTCCAAAGCAAAACTTTGAAAAACTATACTTTTTGCCAAATAATAGTCATACGTAGGTAGAGATGTGTCTGTCTCAGTTTTTTGGTTTTGACTCTGGGTACAGAATCTTAATTTCTAGCCATGTGAAATTACAACATAAGAGGAGCTGCTCTTCTCATGAATAATTTAATAACTTAGAACCACCTTAATATCCAAATGTGCCTCACTCAGCAAAAAGATAAACTCAAGAGAGCTGAATTGCTGATGGGGGGAGGGGATAATCCATATGTTGATGATGTTATTGCTGTTTTCCTGCTTCATCTTACTAAGATACAGGTGTGGAAGGAAAGCTCTTTAGGAATAATCTTAAGACATTTTTTTTAAATGATCATCTGTGGCTTTTCCAGAGAAGGAAAAAATTACTTCATATTGAGCCAAATAGCAAGCAGTAAGCTTCCCAAAGGCTTCCTGTTGTTGTTGCTTACATTGTCCTCTTTTTCTTAGGCGTTTGAACTGGCCACAGGCGACTATTTGTTTGAACCGCATTCAGGGGAAGAGTACACTCGGGATGAAGGTGAGTCCTCTTAACTGAGGATGTCTGTGCATGGTAGTTACACTTGTGTGGCCGTGTGGTTTGTAGTACTGAAGAACTTAGTCTTTTTAGTATGCTAAGAATATATAAATCCCAGAAAAGATAGAAATATAAGATGTTTTATATTAAGTATTAGATATACTCAATATTTTATAGTAGCTATTAAAGAACTCTGTGAGGATGAAGAGAAAAGGCTACACATGGTCAAACTAAAAATTGTATTTACCGGGTAATTTCTTCTAAAACATCTAGTTATTTTCCTTTCTCTATAAATCAGTGATTCAATCTTTACCCCATTTGAATTACCTGTTCGTCAGCTTGCTCACTTATGCCTGCAACTTTATTTGGAAGTCAGTAATTTTATAGGCAAACATACGATTTGGATGGTGTTTGTGAATGCAGAGACTATATCCTGTTTGTATACATTCTACAATATTTAGCATTCTCTTTTTCTAAAAATTAAAGCCATGCTTTTTTTCTTTTTAAATGATATTAACATTTAGAATTCCATTTTAAAACAAAATATTATTGGCTTACATTTTGTGATAGCCGGTGGGAAAGGCCCAAGCTGTGAGCTGCTCCATCTGAGAGGCTGTAAAAGCAGACAACTAAATGTGTGATTGTCGTAGACTCTGGGTCTGGAGTTCTCTCTTGTCCAGCAAGAGAGTGGGATGCAGGATTAAAATGCAAGAGAGGCTAATGTTCAGGAGTTGACAAGAGCCCCGAGTAAGGGTCCTTGCTCCATTTTTATTAGGATCAGAAGGCTTACAAGCGTGACAGATGTGTAAAAGAGACAGTGAAACCATGAACATTAACTCATGGAAGGGGGAATGGAGAATTTTGAAGATAGGCGGTGTTAGGGGTTTGGGTCAATAAAAAACAAAGCTGGGAGGGAGTTTGTTTACAGCAGGCCTGAGGCACCACCTCTGTTTACCTAAACTGGCCTAGGGGACAAGACAGAGCATGCAACCTCAAGGGTCAGCAAGGCACCTTTCTTTTGCTAATTAGCTCCACTCTGGGCACTCTGGGCTCCACTCTGGGCTCCACTCTAGGCCCTATAGACTGGGGTCTATAGCCCTATTTACCTATTTTGGTCCTTCTTCCCTGTGAAAGCAGCTTTTTGCTATTGCACTAAGTTGGGGGGGTGTTTCTGCCCTGAATACCTAATCTTGTTTACCTCATTTTTGATACTTTCATCCTGAGGCTTTTCTATTCCAGGATTTTTGTCCGATACTGGGGGCCTTTGCCCTGTTTACCTAATCTTGGATGCGTTCATCATGCAGCTTTCTATTTCCTTATGCCTGGTTAACCCATCGGTGCAAGCTCAGGGAATTCCTAAGCTTAGTCCCCACATGTGATTTTTTTTTTTTTTTTTTATCATGGTGGTGGCCAGATAACTTAGATAATTGTGAATGAAAGAACTGTTAAAGAGGTATCTTACCTTCTTGATTAAACAGTTTGGGCAGATTTTGTTTTCAGGATTAATGGGGATTACTTTGAAAGAGCACTAGCAATATACCCTCCCAATAAGGAAAATATGTCCTTCACTCCCTGTGCTTTCCTCCATCTTAGGGAAATCAAGTTTTGTGCCCTGTGGAACCAAGAAAGCTCTATTTCTCACACTGTGGTCCCTTGGGATATTAATAGGCATTTTTAGTAGGACCTCCTGACATTCCTAATAAGTACTGTTTGGAAAATGTTGCGCCAGTTCCCATAGCCCAATGCCTATTTTAGTGGGTACAGTATGGATGTGTTTTCTATACATCAGCCCTTGTAAGAATATAACTGTAATTACTGTCTATGTACACACTTAATTTTCCCTAGTCTTTGCTGCTTTTTTTTTTTTTTTTT